AAAGCAGCCTGACGAAATCGTATCCCGTGCGAAATTCCTCCCGTCCCTCGCTTCTTTCTTCAAAGTGCATCAGTAGAAGTGTGTTTGATCAGATCAGGTGAAAGGAGTATTTCTCCAACAATCGGCAAATTTCATCGATTCGCAAAGAAAACATCCCCATTTTATTGCTTCATCTTACGTCTCACTGATTCTGACCGGTGGAAGTAAAATCTCACTAGAAACTCGTTACACACCGTGTCAAGTCCCATTCTCCGTGTTTGTGGCAATAGAATTACCGGCTCCCGTGCGATTTCGATGCAACGACACTGCCTGCGTATGCAAACTGCATCAATAATTGGAAGCAGTCGTTGTTACGAGCCGATTCTCTCGGCGAGACTTTGCTAATTGCAGTGCTAGACTTTCAACTGAACCTCCATTTGTAAAAGAATAGCATTTCGCAGTGAATAATGCGCTCATTGTGCTTTAGAGAGAGCACGGGCCGATTTTCGCACGCGAGCCGGAAAATTCCGTGGATTCGCCGGCCACCTCGAGCGCGTTGCAGTCGACGTACGTGTGCCAGGGGCGCGATAAACGCGCCCTCGACGTCCGATACGAAGAGACTGACTCTCTGAATTTTTTCCTCTCCTTTTTTTACGAGGGTGCAAATTTCGCACGAGCGCAACGGCGTGAAATCGTCGCTCGCGTCTGGCGTTCACGGACCTGCGAGATACCTCGGGAATTATGTTGCATCCGAATGCAGAATGCGGCGGACGAGATATGTAGGAGGGACGCACGAATACACAGTCCTATTCTCGAGGAACGTTCGACAGTTTTTCCAAAAAGAATCGCGCGTGCTGTTGAAGGAATATACGTGCGCACCGCGAAGAAATGCATCGAGTATTCGAGGCACGCGTGCATGACAGCGAAAACCCGTTCGCCCGTTCAGTCCTGCCTTATTCCGCGAAATTCTCTCAATTGCATAAGCCGTATGTTCGTTCGTCTCTTGAACTCGCGGTTTACGTCAAACGCGAGTCTCGTTAAAGTGCTCGCGTCACGTTGAATTAATTACCGGCATTATTCGTTGACGCGAGGGAACGTGCGAAAAGAGGCGCGAATGGGAAAAAATATCACGCACGTACGCACCTCTGTCGATGACGTTGCTGTAAGGAAATCCGTATGCTTTTATTAAGCAGCTACGCGGCTTGAATAGTCGATCATCGATGAAGAAACAAAGAACGAACGGGTGCATTAATTTTTCCGTTTTCGTGTCACGCGGCGAGTAATAATGCGACTTCTAGCCATTGCCGGCGATATGTAAAAATTCCAGTAATTATGGAACCTGCCGATTCGCTCGGCAGACCGGCGCTCATGAATAATTAAATTAGCAGGAGCGGAAGAAAAATCGAGATAACCATAGCACGTGTCTGACATGACACTGCTCTTTTCTCCTGAGCGAGCTTCACCGTAAGATCTGCGCGGGAGCACGTCTATAGTTTTTCTGTCGCGATCGCGAGTGAAAAACTGGAAAAATATCCGGCCGGAAAAATACGAGCAAAAGCGACTTCAGTCGAAATTCAGACGTGTGTTTCGTGAAAAAAACTGTCTCTCCACAGAGCTGCACGACAAAATGCAACATTTCATTAAGGCAAAACACTTTTTTTCTCGCCGCGGCTTGTTGTTAGTTTCACGAGAATTCCGTGAATTTTCCTAATTACAAGTGACGCCGGGACGGATTACGGGAGGGGTATCGCGAACGCGCGTAATTCGAGAGGTTATCAAACGCACACGACGCGTCCAGAGTGAGAAGCGAGTTGAATTATCGCGCGGGGAATCGCGACGAAATTCGGAAACGTGTAGACAGATCTCGTTTTTGCCAAGTGGTCCTTTGCGCGATCATGCATATTCAGCTGCGCCAGCGGGAACAAGGATTGGCGAGTGCAGCATGGCGGAGCACCCGGAATTCTTCGTGATATGAGCAATTTTCCACGCAAAATTCTCGCAAGATAACCAAACGCTGATTTGCATTCTATTCTTCGGCGAATACGAACATGGTAACCGCAGTTTCTCAATATGTCGAGTATCCCGCGATAAATGCCGATGTCGATGGAACGACAACCGTAATCGTCTCTTGTAATCAACTTTTGTAGTCTACACAGAAAAAAGAATATCCTTGTTTGGAGAATATTTTTATTATTGACATTTTAAGAATAAGATTAATGTTAGGACGAGATTATTAGACAAAGATAGACAAAGATAAATTAGTCTTCAATCAAGACAAAAATAGTCAAATTAACACAATCATTTTCTCATAGAATATTACAATATTAATATTCTCGGTTATATATTATTAGGTTATGTATTTCTTGATTATTACAATATTAATATTCTCGTTTACCAATTAATATTGTAATAACCAAGGTAATATTCTATGAGAAAATGATTGTGTTAATTTGACTATTTTTGTCTTGATTGAAGACTAATTTATCTTTGTCTATCTTTGTCTAATAATCTCGTCCTAACATTAATCTTATTCTTAAAATGTCAATAATAAAAATATTCTCCAAACAAGGATATTCTTTTTTCTGTGTAGACTACAAAAGTTGATATATTACATATATATTACAAGTCTTCAATCAAGACGATTATATAAAATTAACCCTCTACTGTCTACTGTGACTCTGAAATCACAATTCTGTTTCATCATTATTTATCTGCAATATAAATTTTGTTCCTGTCTTGATTGATGTGACGTGAAATTCACAATATGGTTGTTTTTTAATATCGTTATTCTATAACAAATGATTGTGTTAATTTGACTATATTGATCTTGGTTGAAGATTAACTTATCTTCAAACGTCATGGCATCTTATTTTAACATTAATCTTATTTTTAAAATATCAATAATAAAGATATTCTCCAAACAAAAATATTCTTTTTATGTAACAATTATCATGCAATGCACATGAAGGAAACAATTGTTTGACGGTATTACCGTGAAATTAACTTTTAATGCGAACTAATGCGCTTCCGTCGAAGGACACCGAATTCCTGTTCTCTGCGACATTTCTGTTCTTGCAATTTTCGGTACCTATGACTCGAATTTTGGCTGTAAGAACCGGAAATGCCGTTCGCCCCCAAGCGAAACGCGTCGGCTCCATTAAAACCAAATTCCACATCGGTGCGACAGAATTTCATCTGCGCGCATACTTATTATTGAAACTACTTTCGCGTCGCACGATAATCATAAAAGAAGTTCACTTGATGCACTCTCAGACACCTCCCTCCTCGAGCAATTTCGCAATTTCGCTGTTTTTGTAAAAAGTGACAAAGAGAATTTTTGTAAGTTTACGCCTCTAAACGTCCACGTCGCGAGAGTATGAAGTTCCCCTAACGACCTTCGTAAAGCAGCAACCTGAAATAATTGATTCGGCGGCGCCCCGGAGAGGAGCTTTCGCGCGCGAGGAGCTTACATCCGCGACACTTCGCGGCGCGAAGCGGCGCCACGAGGCGTTGAGAGTGTCGCGCGATTTTTACCTCCGCTCCGTTGGCGCAAGCTAAACGACCGTTTTTATTCCCCCGTGGATAAAAAAGTGGATACGCGCCAAGGGAGAATGAACTGCGCGAAATAGTAACGGCCGGACGTGGGAGGACCTGCGGAGGGACTGGCACGCAGCGCACTCTCTCGCAGTTTAATCCGCTAAAATGACGAACGTCGCGGAAGGTCGTTGTGTCTTGTCGAGACTCGTTACGGGCAAGGGCGTTAAACGATGCCCGCACCTCACGAATTCCACGTCGGATCGTCGATCGTCGCCTTTTTCCAGCCGCGCCCCGAAGTGACAGTAACTCAGTTATTTCGCGCGCGCGCGCAGAATTCCCGCGAATATGACGCGCATTATTCGTAACGGCGCGGCCGGGAGCCCTTTGCGCGCGAATCGACATGTCGGCCATTCGCTCGCTCAGAGTATTACGGATATGCGATATTAAACGCGACTTTATCTTGTCTTGCGCTCGCTCGACACAACGCAAAACTCTGCTCATACAGCTCGCCGTTCTTAGCACGCCGTGTGAAGTTGCGAATTTCCTGCGGATTAAAATCGGGGCTAAATATTCTATATTTTAGAATTTCGAATTTCACAACTTCTCAGGCAACTAATTGTTGTAACTGACTATAAACATGACAGAGACAACTTTCTTCTATGTATTAATGTCCGCCACGATCCTGTTAATCCTATATTTGTTTTGTAATAATAAAATATGAGTATGCAGCAACGTAGCCATCTTGCCCTGATACAACGGCAACTTGCTCACTAATACAGGGTAAGAAGGCTACATATCAAATATGTATCCTAATTAGTAGTTTCACAGTTTTAATTAGAGTCTCCACAGTCTTCTTGGCCTTCAGTTATAAGCCAATTTTACCTCGTCCATCAATACGTTCTATTCCTATTATTTTACGAATGAAATTTGCTTTTATTACCGGAAACAGTATATATTATACAAAAAATTTTATTACGTCGCTTAATTTGGTTTAGTCATGAAAAATATTGAAAATGAAATAATAATTATAATAATATAATTATAATAATAATAAAATAATAATAATAATAAAATTTTGAGGGGTGCTCGAAAATTTACTTTATTATTACCAAATAAATAATATTTGGTAATAAAATTTGGTATAAAATTATTACTAAATAAATTTTTTCTATTTCTTAACTGTAATATTATTCGATTCGAAGCATTTCGCGATTTTGTGTACCCATTATTCCTCTCAAGATAAATATTAAAAAAAAACATGTATGGGGGCCATATAGTTCTGATATCCCGTATATCTATCCCGTATATCGCTGGCATTTAGGATATTCCGCGCTCAAAACAGACGAACAAAGGCAGTAAAGATTGTCGTACAACGTCTCTTCGAAACTGCCGCGAATTTACGTTAAACTGAATCCGGGAAACAACGAGAGACCCGACCTCTGTGGGT